CATGAATAAATGCAGCTGGAGCTTGGAAGTGCTTATAAAGAGAAGTCTGAGGCATTTATTCGATAATATGGTAGGTGTTAGAAATGAAAAGCTTATATACACAAACATGGATACCAAAGGAAGTACTTCTGATTGACATTAATTAATCTGTATCCAGCCTTGTTTCTTCCTGTGTAGAAATTGGTCGACATGGGTCTTGCCCTTGCTGTTTCTTCCTATAATATATATTTTTTTGTTTTTCAAAGAGATGCTTGATCATCTCTTACAATGTCTATGTAGTGAAACTTTTTAGGGGCATGAATATGGATGCAAAAAGTAGTTATTGGACACCCTAGGCAGTTGGAATGTATAATTAATGATGTATTTTGTCAATATGATGAATGCTTTGAGTTGCTGAAGTCTGTGTGTTTCCAAGTATCATACTTCCTGCGATGTTTCATGTTTATACAGCTTCTCATTATTTTATTAGAAAATGAGCTTTTCCTGGGGAAGTAGAGAAAAAATTGAGCAACAAAGGAGAGTGCATAGCTGTCTGATTGTTTAGAAGAGCATTAATTTTGTTCTAAGGTTACATATATCAACAAAGGAGACTAAAAATGTTTTGAGTATTAGTTGAATATCTTAAAAGCTCTCACAGAATAGGAGAATCCTGTTGATAAAAAGATTTGTGATATTTGTATGATAACATATTTGTTGTGGTTGTGAAGTTGATATTATCTGATTGGATCTGTGTTATACAGAATAGAGGCGTTTTATAACATGAGTGGTGCTTAAGCATTATAAAATTACATTCCCCCAAGTCGGTATCCCAGAAGATGGCTTCTGTTGGAATGGCTCCACTGACAGCTGAAAAAGTTGATGGTGATTCAATGTTTGTTGACAAACTGCCTGAGGAAATCAATGAAATGAAAATCAGAGATGACAAGGTGGAAAAGGTTGTCTTTTTTTTTTTTTTTTTTTTTTTTTTTTAACACTTTTCTATATGTGCATTGAGTGCATCTTTTCTACAATGAATTCTGACACACATAAATGATAAACCTATGCTGTTGTAGGAAATGGAGGCAACTGTGGTAGATGGAAATGGCACTGAAACTGGTCACATTATCGTTACTACCATTGGAGGCAGAAATGGTCAGCCCAAACAGGTAAAATGATCAAATATCAATTAGTTTTTGTATTTATATGATATAAATTTGGTTGAGTTTTTATGTTTCAGACAATAAGCTATATGGCAGAGCGTGTGGTGGGGCAGGGTTCTTTTGGAATTGTGTTTCAGGTAATAAATAAATAGTAAATACTTTATAAAGGAAACACAAGATGTATGATGTGGAATTACAATTACTGTTTTACTTACCCTGTGGGAATGGGAATTGAACTTGTGCAGGCGAAATGCTTAGAGACTGGAGAAGCTGTTGCAATTAAAAAAGTATTGCAAGATAAACGATACAAGAATCGGGAACTGCAGACAATGAGACTTCTTGATCATCCGAATGTTGTTTCACTCAAACACTGCTTCTTTTCAACAACAGACAAAGATGAACTTTACCTGAATTTGGTTCTAGAGTATGTACCTGAGACAGCTTATCGTGTAGCAAGACACTACAGCAAGGCAAACCAAAGAATGCCCATGATTTATGTCAAACTATACACGTATCAGGTATATTAATTAAGAATCCTGTCTTGTTATTTTTTTATTCCTAAAAAGTTATGTTATATATTATGTAATGTGGTTTGGTTTGTTTTTCAGATTTTCAGAGCACTTGCATACATTCATGCAATCGGTGTGTGCCACCGTGACATCAAGCCTCAAAATCTTCTGGTGAATCCGCATACTCACCAACTCAAACTCTGTGATTTTGGAAGCGCAAAAGTTCTGGTAATATAATATATTAATATTAATATTATTATGTTTGTTTGATTTGATTATCTTGAATTTGATTGTAAGTTGTAACAAACAGGTGAAAGGGGAACCAAATATATCGTATATCTGTTCACGATATTACCGGGCACCTGAACTCATATTCGGGGCAACTGAATACACCACTGCCATTGATGTCTGGTCAGTCGGTTGTGTCCTTGCTGAACTCCTTCTAGGACAGGTTCTTTCTCTGCCTCTTTAGTCTTTACTTCACCTCCTAGTTATTATTATTTTTAATTTTTTTTTTTACAATATCCTTTTGTGCCTTTTTCTAGCCCTTATTCCCTGGTGAGAGCGGAGTTGACCAACTTGTAGAGATCATTAAGGCAAGTAATTTATTATGCGTTTTTTTTTTTTTCTGAAATATTAGTTTTTTATTTTTATTTTTGAATTATGTTATGTGTGTAGGTTCTTGGTACACCAACTCGTGAAGAAATCAAATGCATGAATCCAAACTACACAGAATTTAAATTCCCACAAATCAAAGCTCACCCCTGGCACAAAGTGAGTTTTATTTTATTTTATATTTTATTTAGAGAAGCCCAATTTGGGGTTTGCTTTTTAAGTGTATAAATGTGATGTGTAGATTTTTCACAAGCGGACACCCCCAGAGGCTGTAGATCTTGTTTCAAGACTCCTCCAGTATTCTCCCAACTTGAGGTGCACTGCTGTAAGTGCATGGATATCTTATCTTCTTCCTTTTTGTTTTGTTTATTATTTATAGGCAGCATATTCATGTTTCCATGGATAATAAGAATAATAAATTGAACAAACAAATCAAAACAGTTGGAGGCATGCATTCACCCGTTCTTTAACGAACTTCGTGATCCAAGCACCCGTCTTCCAAACGGCCGCCCCTTGCCGCCCCTCTTCAACTTCAAGCCTCAAGGTTAGTTCTGTCTTTTTTTTCATTGCAATGGAATTCCTCCCTCCTTCCTTTATAACTGGAGGTTGATATAATTAATTGATATGACAGAGCTAAAAGGGGCATCTTTGGAACTTCTGGCTAAACTGATACCTGAACATGCTCGGAAACAGTCTCCCTTCCTTGGTTTCTAAGTTGTAATCAACCGCTTGCCTGCCTGCCTAATTTATTGTTTGTCCTCAGCCTCAGATATAGCAAGCAAGCAAGCAAACATACTGTGGTTTATTAATGTTTATGTTTAGTTTTTTGTTGAACCTGATTGCTTTTGTATTTTGTATTTTGTGTTTTCTGCATATCATATGCATATACATGCATATGGTGAAACTTATGTAGACCTACCTGTATGGAGTATGAAGTATGATTTATATGCAAAAATCTGTTGTGGTTGCTTATTATATGCACTGTTTTAAATGGGAACCAAAGACCAAAGTAGTTGTCAACGTGGTCTAATTTTATGTTAAGTTCTAAACCAGATCCAATCGTACGGTTTCTTCAAAAACTGGGTTGGACCGGTAAAAACTGTTTGAATCGGTTTATTAGAGTTGGATAATCGGATTTCACCTCGCCCATTAAAAAAACGTCCGTTTCCCAAGAAAATTGACTAGCTCGATCAATGAGGTCATCTATGTAGACATCTCGAAAACCACACCACTATCAAAGATATAGACCGACGGTCGAACGGGGAATTGATCAGTAGACCGATTCAACTCAAAATTCGGTTTTTAAAACATTGATTAGATTATAATTCCTTCTCAAATAAAGAATCCACCTACACATCTAGGTTATTATTGTTTTGCAATTTTACAATGTGTTATTTGGTTATTAATGAGAGAATTTTACAATAAATATGAAACCAAACGCTTGCGTTAATGGAAATAAAAAACTACACCTTAGTGTTTAGTAATGATTCACTTTTATTTGTTATTTATATCGGTTAATTTATTATGGACAAAATTGCAAAAATGGTTTCTTAGGTATGCAAATTTTTAGGGTTTTAGTCCAAACCACGACTTTTTTGGATTGGTGGTCCTTTTGAACTAGTTTCTTTGCGTTTTTGGTCCGTAAACTGCTTTTTCTATTTAATTTAAATGAAAAATAAAATTTGGGGCCTCTCTCTCTCTCTCTCTCTCTCTCGCGTAGGAAAACCATAGATCTGTACAAACACGTTAATGTCCCTGTGACGTCCTAATACCCCCAACCCCAAATTTAAGAACCCCAAGGAAAGTAGAAAAGAACGATCGATCATTCGATCTTCAAGCTTCCTGCTCCAGGAACCGAAGTTCCACTCGTTGCAGATCCGAGAATCAAGTTCTCCTCAAAGGCGGTGGTGATACATGTGCTTCTAACTCCGTACTTTCGTTCCAATTACCAGGTCACATTAGGGTGGCAAAGTTCGTAAACATGGTAGATCTGAAGACGGAATCTGTCTCTCTACCTCCTCTCATCAACAACAGTCTTCAGTCGCGAGCTTATATTTCTGATCTCCTCCTCAGACGAGCTCCTCTCCGATCCCACCTTCATCACCACTGTTGGAAGCCCTAGCTGTGTTGTCTGTCTGAACCATAGCGCAAACATCAGATGAGAACATTCACCGAGAAACCCTAGCCGCCATGAACATCCCAAATATGTGTTTTCAGATTTTCCAGGTCTGATGGGGTTTCCCTACACATGAACATCCAAGATCTTCAAATCAATCAACATAATAGATATGGGAATGTCGATCTCATGGAGAACAACACCATATGTGTGTTTTTATGAGTTTGGAGAATAAGACCTTCATCATTTGGGTTTCAAAATTCTAATCGATTCAACAAGCCTATTCTTGTTTTAATCGTGTAAATCGAGCTGGGATTTGAAGTCAGGTGGTAGATTCTTTTTAATTTCAGTTATCATGTTTAGATTTGAGTTAGAATTTAAGTTGCAGGTTAGATTTTAAGTTTAAGCTCTTGGTTTTGATTTGAGGTTAGAATTAGATTTCAACAACGGTGGTGGATGTCGTGATTGGTTGTTATTGGCGGAGGTGAACTGTGGTGTTTGTTGGAGATGAACAATGGTCTTGTTCAGAAGCGAACGGTTGCCAGAGATGGTTGAAAAGAGGTTGTTGGAGGAGGTGAACGATGGAGGGGAAGGGGATTATGGGTAATGGTGAAACCATATATGGAGGTGGCAGACGGTGGTAGTGGCAGACTAAGGTGGTGGCGGACAGTGGTGGAAGCAGATGGTGGTCAAAAAGTGGTGGTGGTGGCGGACGGTGGTCAAAGGGTGGTGGTTGTGGAAGATATTCTTAAGTTCATGAATATGTTCTTGAGTGTTCTTGAGATTATGAAGATGTGTTCTTAAGATTATGAAGGTGTTCTTGGGTGTTGGGAGAGAGAGATGTCCTATATTATTTTTTTAATTGTTAACATAAATAAATAAATATTAAATTTTACTAAAAATGAAAGAAAAATGAAAAATAAATACCTAAGGGTATTATAGTTATTCAATTTTCGAAAGGACTATTTTTACATACAAACCATTCCAAAAGGACTATCAATCCAAAAAAGTCGTGATTTAGACTAAAACCCCCAAAATTTACATACCACAGGACCATTTTTGCAACTTTGTCTTTATTATGAGAAATTTGCATAAAGTTCTCTCGGGTTAGGTTCTATTAACGCAAAAGCAATCCTTGATTTTTTAAATTTTAATTTTATTTATTTCTTTTTCAAATAAACCCAAAATACCAGTAAATGCTTGCAAAATAACCATTGTACCTGGCCGGTTAATATCGATTTTCAGGACTAAATTGTAACTAAACAATCAGTGATAACTTTTTCGTTAATAGGGTTAAAATTTAAAGACTTTTCTGAATGTTTATTTATATATATATATATATATATATATATATAATTAATTTGAAGAAGACTTATATTTATTTATTAAAAAACTCAAAATAAAGATATTATATATAACTTAAGATAATTATATATGATATAGATGATATCTTTATGATTGTTGTTATAATATATAATCTAAAAGAACTTTATTGATTTGTCGTATGAAACGTGTTTGTAGCTCACATACTACATTCATTGTTGAATATCCAGGTCTTGAGTGTAAAAAAAAACGACTTAGATGTAAATAATAACAATGGAGATAGTTTCTACTTTCTAGAACTTTATTTGGGAACAATAGTCTTTGGTAAACATTTATTTTGTGAGGTGTCGTTCGATTGTGAGAAACTTTTCAGTAAACTACAATTTTATGATAAACGTTTTATACTCAAGACCTGAAAATTCAAAAATGAAGTAGAATGTGGCCTAGAATGCGTTTCTTAAGACAAATCAACAAAATCTCGTTAGGTTTTATAAGATATAGATTGTACCTCTATGATTGTAGTTATAATATTTATTAACGACAATCACAAAAAAACCCCAAAATGATATATAGATTATCATCATTGTATTTTTTTTAATAAATAAATATGAGTTTTTTAGTGAAAGGGGTGTAGATAATATATTTATTTTGAGTCTTTTAATAAAAAATATATGTTTTTTCAAATTAATTTGGTATATATATATATATATATATATATATATATATATATATATATATATATATATATATCTTTAGAAAAGTCTTATAAACTTTAACCATTTTAATGAAAATGCCATTACTGATTATTTATTTATAATTTGGCCTTGAAAATCGACATTAACCGGATACAAGAGTTATTTTGCAAATATTTACCGACATTTTAGACTTAATTGTAAAAAAATAATGAGGGATAGTTTTTGCATTAATGAATCCAAACTTTAGAGATTTTTCTACATGTTTTCTATTTATTATTGTTTAATTTTTCGGTTATACTCACTCTACCAATATACATTTTTGTAGGGATTTTTTTATAGTTGCGTTTATATGTTTGTAGGGTTTTTTTTAAACTGACAAAAATCGACCAAACTCACCAACTCAACCCGAACCCAACCCAAAATTAGTAGGTTGGGTTGAGATTTTCAACATATTTATGTTAAACGGATCAACTCGCCTAATCCATTTAATTAAATAGGTTGGGTTGGGTCAAAATTATCAACCAATTTTCAACCTAACAACCCATTTAACTTTAATATATATATATATATATATAATATATATATATATATATATATATATATAAATTTAATAATTATTTAAATATTACAATGTATTAATCTAAGTATTAATTTATAAATTACAATGTTGTATTATGATTTATGTTTTAAAAAATGCAATCCTAATTCCTATATTTTTTTCTTTGTGCCGACAACACTAGTCATTCTTCAAAATCACTTCGAGATTACTTATCTTCAATGTTATTTTAACAGTTTTTTTGAATTTGTGAATGAAGATTATGCTTTTATTATATTTTGAAAGTTTATTTAAGTTTGTAACTATTTTAAGTGTTGTTATATTTAGTTAATTTATTTACTTTTTTATTTTAAATGGGTTAAACCAAGTTTAACCAATTTATTTAATAGGTTGGGTTGAGAATTACATAAACGGGTCGACCCGATGACAACCTATTTATCTGAAAGATTGGGTTGAGTTGGAAATATTCATCCGTTTAATTAAAAATGTTGGGTTAGGTTGAAATCTTCGACCCAATTAATAAATGGGTTGAACCTGAATCCAACCCAAATTAACCCATTGCCAGCTCTAGGTTTTTTTTTTTTTTTTAGTTACGCTTATATAGTTATATTTCACTTTTACGCTTATATTAACAACTATATTTTGTAAAAACTTATGGATCAATTTTTTTTTTTTTTTAGTTACGCTTATATAGTTATATTTCACTTTTACGCTTATATTAACAACTATATTTTGTAAAAACTTATGGATCAAAAAAACTTTACCAACGCCATTCCTCCTGGCTCCTACCATCGATTCGCATCCTATTATAAATACCTTGGCCTGACTTGGACGTTTTTCTTTTCTTTCCACGCTTCTCCGGCGAAGCGGGGTTTCCTCTCTTATTGACATGTATACCTCCATAACCACCGAGAGGAAGATCATTTAGAGAAATAAAAGAGGTTCTCCCGTTTGTCTAACGTTTGTCTCTGTTTTCTGACCTAATCATCCATCTCTGCTTTAGGCATTTGAATCGTCACGCCTTCTGGTAACATTTTGCTCCGTCTCTTTTTTATTTTTTATTTATTTAGGGTTTTTGGTGGCGTTTCAGATCTATCGTCAAGGTTTTGGTACGATGATAAAACCCTAAGCTAAATGTGGCTGTTTGTATCGCGAAATGGCGTTTTTTTTCAGGGTTTATCTCATTTGCTGGGAGTTTGTTTTTTTGGAATAATTGTGCAAGATATTTATGAAGTAAATATGAAATGATTTTTGAAAGAAATGTAGTATAGTTGATTTTGTTGCATCTCGAACCCATGAGCATATAAACGAACGCCTCCGGATTGTGTATTGCATGCGTGTAAGGTTATCTTGGTTGCCTATGCTGATAATTTTTTCTCAATGATCCCGATGCTTTAGCTGTGAACACTTTTGAGGAATATTTTATTGCATTTTAAACCACAAAACACGGAAGCCATTTTGTTAGCTCTATGCTTACCGTATAGACCATTAGCTTGGAATTGGGGCTTTTTATGGTTTCCTAAGAGGCATATCATAGCATGTGTTGCTGACTTTATCAAAACTAATTAGGCTTTCATTTTTAATGCCATGTATCATAAGTGGCAGAATTTTTAGGGTTTTATATATTAAGTTTGAACCACAGTTTGTATGTAGTTTTACAGTGGTTTCATAAGCCTTGATAGAATGTTAAATCAGCAACAGCAAGGCTGTTGGGTTTGTTCTCATTCATTCAAATGCATGGGTTATATTGTTATTTACACCCATATTCAGCTGTTATTTGTAAAATTTTGCAAGTTAAACTTCCTCTGCCAGCTGCAAGAGTAACTTGTATGTTTTTTTACCAGATATTTGAAATTGCTTTGCTGAAATGGCTGCTGCTGCAACTAAAACTTCTGCTGGTCCACGCTATGCACCAGAGGATCCTACTCTCCCCAAACCATGGAGAGGGCTAGTTGATGGTAACACCGGGAATCTTTACTTTTGGAATCCAGTGACTAATGTCACCCAATATCAGAGGCCCTCAGTGCCCAAGGAAGATCCACCTCCAGCAGAAGTTCAGGTGCAACCATCTTCCCAAGATGACAATGGTGTTGCTGCTTCGGATGATGTTACACATGAAAGAAGTGGGAATGGTGGATCAAACTTTTCTTCCGAAACAAATTGTCATTCTCATGAGGTTTGTGTTCAACCTATTTTTACTGTTCCATACTTCCATATTATTGTTCTTGATGAACTTATGACTCTTGTTCTAATCTTATGTTAGACTACACAAGATACATATGATGCCCCAAAAGAGACAGTTGCTTCTGGGCAGGGAGGGCCCCCTTATCAAGCTCATGTCAGATCAGCTGGAAGTGGTTTATCACCAGATGCTTATCGCCAAAAGCATGAGATAACTGTATCTGTAAGCACCAAATACATGATATCATTAATAAGTTAATTGTAAGTTGTCTGTTATGAATTATGATGATGCAAATGCAAAATTGTTCAGGGAGACAATGTGCCCCCACCCTTTACATCATTTGAAGATACTGGTTTCCCTTCTGAGTTGCTTAGAGACTTACTCCAAACGGGATTCTCTGCTCCGACTCCCATACAAGCACAATCATGGCCAATTGCTATGCAAAATCGTGACATAGTAGCAGTTGCCAAGACAGGTTCTGGAAAGACTTTGGGTTACTTACTTCCTGGATTCATTCACCTTAAAAAAACCCGCAAGAATCCTCAGTTGAGTCCAACTGTTTTGGTTTTATCACCCACAAGAGAATTGGCCACACAGATTCAAGATGAAGCTGTCAAATTTGGAAAATCATCTAGAATATCTTGCACGGTATTATGCTGTCTGCTATTGAATCTTCAGTAAATAGTAGTTAAGTTGAATTTAATGCTGTTTTATAATGAATGCAGTGTTTATATGGAGGAGCACCAAAGGGTCCCCAGCTAAGAGATCTGGCAAACGGGACAGACATTGTGGTTGCGACACCTGGGCGTTTGAATGATATTCTTGAAATGAGAAAAGTGAGCCTGAGTGAGGTGACTTATTTGGTGTTGGATGAAGCGGATAGAATGTTGGACATGGGATTTGAACCTCAAATTAGGAAAATAGTAAACGCGGTCCCCACACGTCGTCAGACTCTTATGTACACTGCCACCTGGCCGAAAGAGGTGCGGAAAATTGCAGCTGATTTTATGGTTAATCCGGTTCAAGTCAACATCGGAAACATCAATGAACTTGTTGCCAACAAGTCCATTACACAGGTAGCAATCTTTGTCTTTCTTTATAAATTATAATAATGTTTGATGATGTGATAATTTGTTTTGCAGCATGTGGAGGTTGTGGCTTACAATGAGAAACACAGACGATTGGAGCAAATACTGAGATCTCAAGAACCAGGATCTAAGATTATTATTTTTTGTTCAACAAAGAAGATGTGTGATCAGCTGGCGCGTAATTTGACCCGCCCGTTTGGTGCTGCTTCAATTCATGGAGATAAAAATCAGGGGGAGAGAGATCATGTGCTCAGTCAGTTTCGCTCAGGGAAGTGTCCTGTGCTTGTAGCAACCGATGTTGCTGCTCGTGGACTCGACATCAAAGATATCAGGTACGTATTTTTATTTTTATTTTTAATCAATTACTAGTAATTTATTTATATATTAAAAACAATTCTAAATACACTACAGGGTGGTGGTAAATTACGATTTTCCTACGGGGGTTGAGGATTATGTACACCGGATTGGAAGAACTGGGAGGGCAGGGGCTACAGGAGAGGCTTACACTTTTTTTGGTGACCAAGATGCAAAACATGCATCTGAGCTTGTTAAACTTTTGGAAGGAGCAAATCAACGTGTCCCTAATCAAATCCGTGAAATGGCTTCACGAGGTGGTGGAATGGGAATGGGAATGGGTGGTGGCAGATCTAGGCGCTGGAGCTCTGACAGTGGTGGTGGCCGTGGAGGTGGAGACGATTCAAGCTATGGTGGTGGAAGAGGTGGCTTTTCCTCTGAAAAAAGCGGAAACCGTGACAGGTAAATAAATGTCAACTTTTATGGATGGTGGCTGTTAGTAAATAGTAGTAACACCAAACCCTATATGTCCATTGCAGTGACAGAGATGCAGGTGGTGGCTATCAGGGTAGGAGCTTTCATGAAACCATGTTTGGTGGTGGTGGTGGCAGTGGCAGAAGCCCGCCCAACAAAGGTGGTTCAGGGTGGGGGGTGTCCAGTGACCGTAGCCGTAGCCGTAGCCGTAGCCCGGAGAGGTTTGGTAATGCGCCACCTATACGAAGCTTTCACCAGACAATGATGGAACGGGCCCGGCCTCCACCTGTATTTAAATTTGGGGAAGCCGATGGGAATAATGGTGGTGCAAATTAATTAAAGGCGTTTGTTTTGTGGTGGAGTTGTCTATTTTGTGTTTTAGTTAATATAAAGTATGGTAGTAGTGGTTATGACTTATGACATACATAGATGTGTTTGTCTATTTTGGTTTTGGGAGCTTCTAACATAGAGGGCCAGATGGTGGCCTAATAGCCTAATAGCCTTATAGGTTATGTTTTTGTTTTTGGATGGATGGATGGGTTATGTCATGTGTAAAGCGTGAGAAGATGTGCTTGTGTATGCCATGGTCTTTGTAGCTGTTGGGTTATGGTATCTTCATTCCGTTCCCCTTGCGCTTATTATTGTGAATATTAAAGCAGGTTTTTTATTTGCTTAACCCATCAAGTCATTTTGCCCTCATTGACTCAAAAGTAAACCATGTCTAGCTGTCCAGATTAAGCCGTTAAGCAAAAAAAAAAAAAAAAAAATCCAAGTTTATCTTGGTCATACTCAAATATTTTTTGAGTGCTCTGTTCCTTTTCTAACCAGGGCAGAGGGTGATACAAAAGAAAAGGGAAAATGAGTGTAGAATATATATATGCACAATTATTGTTTCCAAGGCAAGGCGAATTGAAATGATACGCGATGCGCAGCCTATGACGCTTCTATTACAATCAAGCAGCTTTTGGTTTTATCCTCTTTGCTCTTGAATACAGGAAAACTCCAGCAAGTGCCAAACCAGTTCCTGAAATTAAATATGATGAAGGTGAGATAAGTAGAGAGTAGCAAATGCAAATTGTAACTGTAAGCAGTATCTGTAGTGTAGTGTAAAATCCATATTTACCAAGGGAGTTGATGGGAGACACGGGTGTCTGAAAGAAAATAACAGAGGACACGATGACCACCACTCGCTTCACACAGTTCCCCACGGCATGTGTCACTGGATTTACCATTTGTAGTATCATATACGATACCTGTCACTCCTCTCCACATACATACTTTTTTTACTTTAGTCATCACATATATGCTACTATAGTATTAGTAGCATTCTTTGTGGCTAAATGTGGTAGAATTTAACCTTTTTTACCTGTTGATAACTATGAAAGCAGACACCAGCTAGAACAGACCTGACACATAGCTCTCTCACATTCACACCTTGACTCGCCTAACAAGTTACAAGAATCCTTTGTTTTCAATCATGATTCATAGTCTAAAATATTATATGGTAATTCAGATCTATAGTCTATACTCACAGCAGACTGCAGGTACTCTGGAGTAAACTTGAAGCCTTCTAATAAGAACATAAAAGGGATCAACAGGATAAAAGAGATGGTGGTGATAACTGAGAACAGATTGATATTGTCCAAAGCTTCCTGTCCAGCTGGTAAATTAGCTTTTTCATTCTACATATACTTTAGGAGTGAATGGTCACTATATAATCAGTAATCACATTATTACCTCTTTCCTGACCATAAACTTTTTGCTAAGTACATTACGTGATTGGTTGGTGACATTTGAAGCCATTGCACTTCCAAAACCGATCCTGTATAATGTATATATATTTTTCATCAAATCAAAATGTACAGATGCATGGTCAACTCTGATTGTTTGACTTAATTAAGAAGTAGGTATGGGTTGGGTTTGGGTTTGGAACCAGTTAAATGAAGATTCGGTGAAGGATGCCAATGCAACACCACCCACAATAGGTACAAGAGATGAAACCACCCACAATGTTGGTCTCTGTCAACAAACTAAGAATTAGGAGAAATTACCCAATATGATCACTTGATTAATGCCATTACAGTATATACTGACCTCTGAAAGTAGAAGGGCAGAAAAGAGAACAGTGAAAAAAGGCTCCATGGCTTTAATTGTGTGAGTGAAGGAAACCGCAACTCTTCCAAGACTAATATTAGTCAAAAGGTTTCCCATTGTGTGTGCCACTGCCAACATTACCACAGGTACAATCTGACATCACATCATCAACCATGCATTTTATATACTCAATACTCATTGCTCAAACAAACATTTATAATTTATTCATTAACCAACGAATGAACTAGTGTAAAAAAATATAATCAAGCACCTGGGATTTATAAATCTTGGGTCTTGGATGAAGTTTAAGTGCCCACATAATCAAAATCATCACAGTCCCACACCCAAATTGAAACGTGGTCACTGTCATTGGGTATGGAAAAACCTTAAGAACCTGTATCATGTATCATGTATGAAACAAACCAAATTAATCTCGTCAATTTATTCTTATTAACACACAAAAACACAGTTTAATTAATTTCTGACCTGTTTGTTGAAGATGTTGAAGTAGATGTTCAAAAGATACCACACTCCAAACATGGCTGCCAGCTGTAAATTCCGGCCAAACTCAGCTGGATTTGCAGACTCACCGGAGCTTTCAGAAGCCCTGGCCACCACCAAATCATTGTAGATTCGTTTGGGTGACAAGAAGGAATAGTAATAGTAATTATTGTGGGTTTTGTAATTAGAGCCGAAAGTGAAACCTGGTGTGTTTGAACCTATGCTTCTGCATAGTAAATGGATTGGTGAAGAAGAAGAAGATGAAGAACGTGGCAAGATTTTGGGTGGGTTGAAATGCTTTAGGGGTTTTGGGTTTAGAGTGGAGCTAGAAAGAGCTAATGCATAGCTCTCCATTGATTGTTTGTGGAACTGAAAGAAAAAGATTTTGATCTGAGCGCGCGCGCGAGAGAGAGAGAGAGAGAGAGAGAGAGAGAGAGAGAGAGAGAGAGAGAGATTTTGATTTGCATGGGATATAAATCCAACAAAATTACATGTCAGTAAGGTGGGGACATGAATCCCTGCATTACAAATTTATGGCCACCATTCAATTTACTAATAAAACTTATATAATTTTACAAGAAAAGCATGGGAGTAATTATTGTAAAAGATTTCCTAATTGAAATTTGGTGAAGAGTTATACACCTACAAGGCTACAAAAGTTGACATCATTTATATATTTTGTTATTTACTCTTTTTTTTGTTAAAAATATAAGATGCAGAAAATAGAAATGTTTATTGGAGTCTATTTTAAATGGTACAACTAAAATGCACAAAAAATTGTTGAGGACATGACTTTGAGTTTGAGTTGGAGGACAGGTGGATGGTACGTACTGAAGAGGCTGACATGCCCCGGTCCAGAAGTTTTTAGCGAAATTAAGCCAAGCCTTATATGGCAGATGAGTTGTGTGTGGACACCCTTCCAAAAATTTTATTTCCACTCTTTTTCATTATCTTTAATATTAATATATTTTCATTACAAATAACTGTGTTTGAAAAAGAATCCCACCTAAAAAGCTATTTGTAATTCTTTATGGGACGTTTTAGCAAAGCGAAAATCGATATTATTTATTTTGGAACTAAATAAAGAAACTAATACTACCTTCCTTCCATATTTATTGTCCATTTTTGACTATTTAACTTTTTATTTTTCAACTTTGACCTTAAATATTTTTGTTTTAGATATATAATTAGGTGTGAGACCCATGTATTACATGAGTTTATTTAAAAGAAAAACTAAATACAAAATTCTAAACATTTGAGAAGTTTGTATTTATAAGAAAAGTGAGAAAATATTGCATTATAAAAATTAAAGTGTTTTTTTTCTCATTTAAATTTAAACAAATAATTTAGATAAATAAATAAAAAATTAATGAATCTTTAATTTAGTAATTTTGAAATTAGAGGGAAAGTTCATTAATAAAATTAATATGTATTTATTATTGCATTTAAATACTATTTGGAATTAAAGAAAATGAAAAAACCATAAAATGACATTTGAAATAAAAATTAATAAAAAAAAACCACAAAATTACATGTGACAAAATAAATAAATATGTGACATGTGACAAGAAGATCTTTATTTATTAGGGAGGATACTTGATGCAATATATATGAATGTATTTTATTTTAAATGTATTTTCATCGTTATAAATTTTATAAAGTAATACGTAACACAAAAAACTAACTAAATAAACGACCTACTCGACCTACTCATGGTAATGTAACATCTTTTCCAAGTAGAAGTATTTGCATATTTATTGAAAAATCCTAAAAGCAGAATGTCTTTATTTATTTTATTATTATTATTATTATTATTATTTTGGTAACTATCTCTGGTCTGATAATATGAGTTTTTATATAAGTCATTGTTTTCGTCTAATTTATAAAGATTCGTTTGTATTTCAATCAACAATCAATTAAACATAATTCCAATCCAAAATCTTTATATATATATATTATATATATAATATATATATATATAGATATATATATATATTAAAAGAGGAACCTGACACCTTCAACAATAAGACCATTAATTGAGTTTCCTTGACTAATTTCAACCCTTGTATCATTTTGATGATGTCATCCTAAAATAAAGTAGAATTAAATTAATATTGACTAAATTTGAAAGCTTGACTAAGTGATTTAATGTTAACGTCATTTATAAAAGGAATGTATTCAACTCACTAAGTCTTATAATAATTTTTGAAAGTAAATTTCTTTCATTCCTAATTAAAATCACGTTGTTAGCTGGCACCTTTCGTATATTCTTTCAATTCATATCTATTATATAAAACGTATCTACAAGATTACTGGATATTTTCGCTCAATTTCAAAGAATCAAATAATTCGAAATTTGATATCCTCTCCATAATCATTGTTGAAAGTTATGTATAAATCATGTGTTGTTGTTCGTACACTATGTTTTCTCCAGACTCTTTAGAACATCACGTTCGAACAACATCACCATTTGCAGCATCACGTTCGTCATCCAAGTTACTTCTTTAATATGATGTTCTTCATTTTTATGAATTGTATTCGATTTTTTGATTCTCATTAGTGTTGTATTTGAATGTGATCTTTAAATGCATGGATAATCTTGATTATAAATGTTAGTATTAGTTTTTCAATCTTGATTAGAAAAGCATAGTGACTTTTGATTAACTGTATGTATGTATATGTGTCTTACATAATTAAATTTTTCTGAGATTGTATGGATTGCACGGTAGTTGATGATTGAAAACTACCATTTACCGTTCAGTGTTTTTAATTATCAATATTATACTTCTATTAATTTGACATATTTGCCCATAATTCTTGGTTTTTAACAGATTTAGTTAATAGCAATGTACTTTGACTTTAATCTATAATGTTTTGAATTGCAATTTCTAAATTTATTTTGAGTTGTTGTAATCGTATTAAGTGGATACATAGTGCATTGTAATTTCTATTTTGTTTTTAACATATTTAGTTAATAGCAATGTGTGTATGTGGTTTTTTATTTAAAAAGCCAAAGCTCTTATTTCAACATTTTTTCCCTAATATATCCCTGTCTTTAAAAGGTCATATCTCGGTCATGGGAAACCCTTTTTCGTCGAAATCAGTGAACAACGTTTCGTATTTAAGACAATCAATCTTGAAAATAGCATAGTTATGAAAAATTATAAAGTAAGGTAAAAAATTATAAGATATTAAGAGATTTGTAAAAAGTACAATTAGTAAAAGCGTTACGATTATTAGAAAAAAAATAAGGCCGTTAACATTAGTAAAAATGCAATATATAAACTAAATTTTCACAATAGTAATGAAATGTCATTATTTGATATTTCATATAATAGAAAGATATATACCAAATTACATTGATGATATACCAAAATTATTCAAAGTTGTGCCAAGTCTAATGCAAAGTTCTTGCGAATACCAAATAAATAAAAACAAACATAAAAACTAGCACTTATATTCATAATCAGTTTAAAATAAACCAATCATGATGTAGAAAAGAATTTTCATTGATGATATACTAAAATTAAATCCATATAACATTTAACATTCTATAAATTATACTCTATGACTTTATTTGAATAAATGAAATAGTTGTCAATATTTAATACAGTGAAAAATGGTATATTGGTTGTTAATATATGTTTAAATTAAGTAACCTTATTATGGAAGAAATGTCTAATTAGAATGTTTATGCTTATATAACAATATAATTAATTAAGTAACATTTTTAGATAATTGAAAAACATAAAATAATGACAACTGGAAAATAGTTAATTAAAAAATACCTAAAATTGTCATGTGGCAAAATGAATAAGAAAATAACATGTTGCAAAATGATTCTTATTTATTAGGATAATTTTTTTATGTTGTTTTATCTTATTTTCTTATCGTGTCAGCTTTTTATAACTTTATATGTATTTTTTACTATGTTCCCTCGCGTTTAAAATTTTATATTTTGACGACTTACACATTTTCTTTATAAAAGTCAAACTTTCCAAAATCGGATTCCGATCGTAACCTTCCAATTTAATCCTCATTAATTTCATCTATAATTTCACCCAATTTAAATTTGTATTTTACTTATATAAATTTTTTTAATGATTCCGATTTTTTCCCTCCAAAAATATTTTAAACATTTATTTCTTATGCGTTCATTTATCAAATTTAAATATGTATTTTCCTTATATTCATAAAAAAAATTATTTTGATAACTTATGTGTTTTCTTTATCAAATTTAAACTTTCCAAATGGATTCAATCATAATCTACCAATTTAATCGTCATTAATTTCATCCATAATTTCACCCAATTTAAATTTGTATTTTCCATGTATAAATTTTTTAATGATCCCAATTTTTTTTCTCCAAAAATATTTCAAGCATTTATTTTTAGATAATGTTGCCCCATTATAATTATTATTTTCCTCATATAAAATAATAAAACTTACCAATATGCCTCTCTCTCTCTCTCTCTCTATATATATATATATATATATATATATATATATATATATATATATATAGGCTTAGGTTATTCTATTCAAAGTAATTATTATGTTATTGTATGTATAAATGTGAGCCAATCAAATTACTTATTTTAAGAAAGTGATTATATATATTATTGAATTAAATATAATTGAAAATATCATCTTAATTATTACAAGGGTAATTTAGTCAATTAATATAGATTTAATAAAGGAAAATTGCATTTTTTAAGGGATCATAGATTCTATTAATTTAAAAAATCCGATTTTACGAATTATAATTCTTTTAATTCGGACATTCTGACAGAATATGTTTATGAGTATATTCAAAAATAAAAATATTCTTGAACCATAAATAATAAAAATATTCTTGAACCTATTTATTGATCATGACTTTAAAAACTTCTTGTAGAATAACAAATTCTTGAACAATCAATTGAAGAATAAAAACAAAAATACATTATTTCTTATAGAATACGGGTAACAATTGTTAAGAATTACATTTATTGTTAAAGAATAAAACTAAAAAAACTTTTAAAACGGGAAAGAAAACATCAAAATCTAACAAGGAAACTAATACATTCTAAAAGAATATTGTTGGTTAGAATCACTTTCAATTTTGTGGTCCGTTCTTCAAGCATCAACTTCTGTGATTCCAACAGAATTGGAATTCGTGATTCCATTCCAATAGAATTGAAATCTCACCAATATCATCCATTGAATCATCTACATAAACAAATTGATTTTTATCATATAAGAAGAAGTAAATTTGATATGAAAATAGTGACAAACTACCTTCACTTTGTACTTTACATATAAGAAGAAGGTCATTGACACAGGTGGCAGCTAGCGGAAGAAGAGAATAAGAAGAATGATGGCAGCGGACTTCGACCAATGGCAGCGGCTCCTCCACAGCTCCCTTCTCAGGCAAGAAGGTCGCGGCGT